TGTTGCATGATTGTACACTGTTCCCCTAGTGTCAGCTACTGACGCAATGTTGAGTGAACCAGAATCGAAGGGGAATGTTTTCTGTTACACATGTAGGCTGGCCACATTACTGTGTGTGAACATTTACATTGATCTTATCAATATCTCTATTCAACAGTTGAAAGAATCTGACAAAATGGTGTTCCACCTTATGAACAGCATTTGCCCCAAGTAAAGTGGACAATTGATCTTATCAATATCTCTATTCAACAGTTGAAAGAATCTGACAAAATGGTGTTCACCGCCACCTTATGAACAGCATTTGCCCCAAGTAAAGTGGACTCAAAAATATTGGGCAATTGTATGCTACTGATGTAATGTCTCATTTCCTTCATCTTAGAACTTAGGGAACCAAGGTTATATCAGTAACTGGAGACATTTCCTTACTTTGAAAGAAACATTTTAGCAATCATTAATATATTCCATACCTGACAATGCCAAGGTGAAAGAAAATGCTGTCCCATGGCCTGATCTCTGAAGAATAAAAAGCATACATATATTACTATGCATGGATAGTACAGGGTAAAACCTGAAAGAAAACTTGGTCCCACTTTATATTAGGTGGCCTTAACTACTATGTACTTACATCAAAAAATAAGTACAATGTACTTATTGTGTTCATATTGTATTGCAAAACACTTTTGCTGCTATTGAGGTGGGATACGGGTAAGGTTAGGGACAGGTTTGGTGGTATGGTAGGTTTAAGTGTGGGTTAAGGTGTAAGGGATGAGTCAACAGTGTAATTATAAATGTAATTACAGAAGATAGTTACAGATGTAATCACATGCAGGTGTTTATTTTTTATATAAGTACAATGTAAAAACATGTATGTACACAACAAGTGTATTATATCAAATGATTCATTTAAATGTGAGTACATAGTTGTTAAAGCCACCTAATATAAAGTGGGACTGAAAACTTTTCAAAAAGCCGATGAATATGGAAGCCCTTTTCCACCTCAAAAAGTTGTTTAGGGACTTTATGTATTGCAATTGTGACTTTACCCTTACCCATTCATTCATTCTCCTAACCACTTGTCCTATGTAGGGTTGCAAGATCCTGACACCTAACCAATGTATTGACTCCATCCACTTCAGAAGGTGTTTTGAAACACATTCCAGATGCAATTGACCAAGTGTAAATGCATCTGGTAGTTCAAGCCACATATGTAATTGTTACTCCACCTCCCAAAAGTTTTTTTGAAGGCTTTTTTTAAAGGTGTGGGACTCGTTTCTCCACAGATATGGCCCACTGGAGAAGAGTGTCTTTCTTCAGCAAGCAAGCATGCAAACTGCCACAAACTGTAAAATATGACGTCTTAATTGTATTATTATTACTTGTGTCACGTTTCTTGTGAGACGTGGAGAAAATTAACAAAGAGAATTTAATGAAATCAAGGGAACCAGGAAAACACACGTAGCTTAGGAGGTTGACATTCACATACAGACATTCACATTACCGGACGACCAAACTTAGAACAGGGCTCACTATAAATACACAGGACTAGAGGATGGGATGACGAGACACACCTGGAACTAATGAAACAAACAAAATTAGAACAGGAACAGGGAGAACCAAATAAGGGCATAAGCATAACATGGAGAACGTGGGGAACAAACACAAGACAGAAACAGAGTCTGACATAATACCCTCCTCCGGAATAACATCAACGGGGTGGGAGGGGGGGCGCCTTGGAGGTCCCTCAGGACAGACTAGTATGGAACAGGGACGCCTCCAAGGCAGTACCAGATCCGGGCACCATTGCAGAGCAGGCAGCTTGGGAAACCATGGTGGATCAGAGAGCTCGGGGGGCCATGGCGGAGCAGACAGTTCAGGAGGCCATGGCGGAGCAGGGAACTCAGGGGGCCTGGCCTCGGCACTCAGCCCGGCTTCCACGGACAGACCCCTACTACCCCCCCCAAAAAAAATCCTTAGGGAGAATAGCCCTCCCTGGGCTTGACTTGGGGACTGTGGCCCTCCCTGGGCTTGACTTGGGGACTGGAGCCCTCCTTGGGCAGGACATGGGATCTGGAGCCCTCCTTGGGCTAAACTAGGGGACTGGGGCCCTCTCTGGGCCAAACTCGAGGACTGGGGCCCTCACTGGGCCAAACTCAGGGACTGGGGCCCTCACTGAGCTAAACTCGGGGACTGGAACCCTCTCTGGGCTAAACTCGAGGACTGGAGCCCTCACTGGGCAAAACTCGGGGACTGGAGCCCTCACTGGGCTAAACTCGAGAACAGGAGCCCTCTGTGGGCTAAACTCGGGAACAGGAGCCCTCTGTGGGCTAAACTCGGGGGTAGGAGCCCTCTGTGGGCTAAACTCGGGAACAGGAGCCCTCTGTGGGCTAAACTCGGGAGCAGGAGCCATCTGTGGGCTAAACTCGGGGGCTGGAGCCGACACTGGAGCGAGCTCTGGGGCTGGAGCCTTCTCCTCCTTAGATTCCCCTTTAGGTTCGGGGTGAAAGGCGTGGTCGGCGGGCTTGAGTGAGCCGCGGCCGGCGGGCTTGACTAAGGAACCGCCGTGGTGCTTGAGAATGCCGCGGCCGGTGGGCTGGACTTCTGAGCAGCCGGTGGGCTTGGGAATGCCGCGGCCGGCGCGCTTGTCTACTGAGCGGCCAGCGGACTGGTTCTGACTCGGGCCCGGACACTCCCCAGACACCGGAAGATCCCTTCCCTCCAGCATAGTCCCTTGGTGTCTGGGAGGTCCACGAGGCGATGGTAGTTGGCCCCGAGCCAGAACAGAGAATTGATGGTGGCGTCATCCAATGCCGTTGCCGTGGCGAGCCCGCAGAATTCCCAGGCGTACTTGAAGAAGGGGCGATCTCGGCGGGCTAAGGCAGAGAAACGAGCGGCGATTTCCATGATCTCGGGGGGAAACAAATGGAAAACCAAAACACTTTTAAAAATGGAAAAAAAAAACACGGGGAGAGGGGGCGCCGCTAACTGTCCTTGGTCCGGTATTCTGTCACGTTTCGCTACTGTGCTGGAGCATGGAGCGAGGAACGAGGAGACGTGGAGAACATTAGCAAGGAGAATTTAATGAAATCAAGGGAACCAGGAAAACACGTAGATTCGGAGGTTGACATTCACATACAGACATTCACATTACCGGACGACCAAACTTAGAACAGGGCTCACTATAAATACACAGGACTAGATGATGGGATGGTGAGACACACCTGGAACTAATGAAACAAACATAATTAGAACAGGAACAGGAAGAACCAAATAAGGTCATAAGCATAACATGGAGAACGTGGGGAACAAAACACAACACAAGACAGAAACAGAATCTGACAACTTGTTAAAACTACTATTTATTATTATTATTATTATACTCATTAAGAACAGGATTTTTATGCAGTTCAAATGAAAATGAACATTCATTGTTGCATCCTCAAGCTTGACACCTAGTCTTTTACATTAAAAGGGGTGAGTACTATATTTTACCACCAATGCTGAATTGGCTGATTATAAACACAATACAGCACAGAACATATACGTTGCTTGTTGTGAAGTGAACTCTGCTGAATTTGCATAAAGCGTGGGAATTGAAGATCAGAATTATATCTGTTTTGCGGAGACAATTCTTTGTGACCAAGTATTAATGGAACATATGCAAACTCAGTGGGGGTATTTACACATGGCTGCATCTCAGTCGATCAGATTGCTTTTCAACTAACACTTGTGAAGAGAACAGCCAGTGATTCTGTACTCTTGTACCTCCACGTTCTTTTACAAAGCACCCCCCATTCTCCACCCATGAATCGCTTTGTTGTATGCTTCATTTGTCTCAATTTATAATGCAAAGATGCCAGTCAATCATAACATTTGTTAAGATTGAAGACATACAGGGCAACGAGCTTCAAAACAGTGCTTTTCAGTTGAATGATAAAGTTCACCTTCTTTAATGATGTTAAACTGAATGTACATAGCACACTTTAAAAAAAGTTAAAGTCTCTGTTAAATTCATGTTAAACTAGTTCATTAATTGAAGTAAATATAGACTAAAAACTAGGGATATGTGCTACAACTAATTTAAAAAAGTTTAAACAGGAACTTTGTAACCGACTAGTCCGAATAGTCCAACAAACCCAGAAGATAGTAAAAAATAACCTACTTACTTTATGAATCAGCCAAATTCCATACTGAATTCAGCTGAAATATAGTTCATTTTATATATGCATGTGATGTGCTTGCCTTGCATTATTATTATTATTGTACATTTAAGTGTTCACTTAATCAGCCCTAGCCAATATAGACATATTTATTAAAATCAACTGAATCAATAGGCAGTGACCAATAACTACAAACTTAATAGTGTAGTGAACATCAGCGTGTGGAACATGTGTGGAGATCAGGCTTTGTGGACAACAAAGGATGCTTGTGCCTTAAGATAAACAACACTACTTCTTGTGGAGAGGGGGGTAACATTAACATACAGTAACCCCCATGCAGGAACTGCTTTGTTCTCCCTCAAGCTTATCATTTGTGGAAGGCAGTAATGAGGACTGAAGCCACAAGGGAAGGACACATCTTCACATGCATTCACACAAAATGGACACAAAATTGATTAAATCTTCTATCTACAGGACTGTATATACTTAATGAGTGCTGTGTGCTTTACAACAATGTATGCAACCTTACCTATTAAGGTGTATACTGTACAGTATATATGAATGCATGGGTCAATGTTCAGCATTACCCATTGATGTTTGGTCATCATATTTTCAGCACAATGTGTAGGTTAATCTAGAATTGGTTTGGAGAGTGAATACTGCATAGGAAAAACCTTAAAGACGTTGTTCTAAATGTGGACTTTAAGCTATGTGTCATGGGGCAAACAGTACAGTGTAGTGTTTCTTTAAATATTTTAGTATGCCCGGAATGCGTGAGTTGTCCAATCACCTAATTTCCTGAGTATATAAAAGGGGACTTTTAAGGCACCATTTGAGCGTCCAAGCACCGCTTGTGTGTCACTGCCTGAGGCCCGCCCATTCCGGATCCACTCCTTCCATTCCTGCAGGTATGTGTTGGTTGGCTCACTATTTGGCATTGCGATGTGTAGTTTTATGTAACCAGTCCATTCGGTTTAAAGTTTTCCGATGGACGATCATCATTGTGACCATTGGCAGCTGCCGCCTTCTCTTTCCCTCAACGTCCTCTATGTGATTTACTGGCGTGTTTGTGTCCGCGGGTGCGTGCGATTGGATTTATGATGATGGTGACAACATATGAAGGTATGTAGAACAACTGTTGTTACTGCCTACTCTCTTATGTGATAAATGATTTTATATAATTTTTGTAGGAAGAATAGTTTGACGTTGGGCCCTACTGTGTTATGGGAGCCTGCGGGGCAACATTCCTTGATGCTGCTGCTTTGTCTGTGTGTTTTTCTGCCACTAACGTGCATTCGCACTATTTATTTGTTTTTTTTAACCTGCTTTCCAGCGCGTATATGTTTGTTTGTATTCGTAAAATTTGTATCTTTTTTTGGATTTTCTGTTTTTTTTTCGTACTCTGTTTTACATTGGTTCTGCTTTGTGCAAGTGGTCTTTAGTATAAACCTTTTTTTCTCATCTAAACTTGCTTTTTTTCGTGTATTTTGGTTATTAGCATCTGTTTGGTCATAAATTTGTTTTTATTTTATTTTATTTGCTTGTCCTGCATGTTAGTAGTTTTTATTTTTGGTTGCTATCTTACTTTGTATTTTGATTAATATTTTTCTTTATATTTTTGCTCTGTAATTCGTTTATATCTTGTTTTGTTTTTTTATATGAAGGTGGTGTGAGTGTCTACCTTCATTTTGATGTTAAACCTCGAACCTGTGTAGGTGTTTGTTTTCAACTAAGGATTAATTGTGAACTTTTGTACTTTGGCTTAGTTGTAAGTGTTAGTATTATTATCTTCAGTTTGTTAACTTTGTCTTTTTGTTACAGGAGCCGAGGCTTCCGGGCAGGTCACTAGTTGCCCTTAGTACGGTGGTGGGGCTGTGGCACGGAATGCATGAAGTGTGACCTGTGCACTGGGTGGTAAGATTTTGTGATCATAGGAGCCTGGTGCTCATCAACTAGCTCTCCTGCCATAGGTAGGCCTCGGTCTCCTTCTCATATGTGTTTTATGTTCGCCATAGTCCGGGTCTTACTGTCTTTTAATGATTTTTAAATTAGTGCTCGATTGTTGAAATAAAGTTTTGTATTTGGTATTCATGTCTCAGCCCTTCTTGTTTTTGAAACCACGTACCTGTGTGACCTTTTTGTGGGTGATTTAATATATTAGTACTGATTTCCCTGTTTATAGGGTGGTGTAGTCCGCTACATCTTAGCTTGTTTTTCTTTCCGACTTTGTCCCTTCTTCGCTACATATGCAAATGAACCTCACGCCAGAGAGGGGCCATACCATGGCCACCTCCGACAGCATCAGCCAATCAAAATGCTGGATCTGAAAGGCGCCTACTTGCAAAACCCTCCATCTCAGGACAGATTAAAAGGTTCTCTCAGAGACAAAGAAACAGTCTACTTTAAGTGCTAAGCTGTTGTTGCTCTACTGTAAGTGCTAAGCTAAGTTGTTCCAAGGAGAAACAATGAAGATCTGCAAGAAGCAAATTTGGGGAGTTTGAAAACAGCAACAGCAACAATATCCACAAGCTTAGTGCCCCCCATCTTCAGCAACTACTTCAGAACCTTCTCTTTAGCGATCCTCCGTTTGCGAGTGCCAAACTGCTAGGATCTTCTCCAACAACTTCAGAATCATCTCGATCTTTCTCCTGCGTGTTCCAGGTTGTCCGGATCTTCTGCACAGACTTCAGACCCTTTACCTTCAAGGCTCCTCTGTTTTCATCTATGTTTCCAGACCAAGGTCATTCTCGGTGCTCAGGAATTCATTGTTCACCAGTGCTTCATGTTCAAGGCTGTGAAACGGATCCAACCCCTTTCTTCCCACTGCAACGTGGCCAAGGTCAACAAGTGGAAGACGTTGCTGCTCAGACTCAGCACATGACCTGGTGGAACTTAAATATCACTCTTTCCAAACCTCTTTCCAGAGACCCTTGGCATTAGTGTGTATTGTCAGTTTATGATTATCTAATTTGCATTAGATTCTATATAACTGATGTCAGTTAATAACAAATAATCTCTTGATTTATTTGTTGAATCTAGAATAAGGTTTACCTTATTACTTCCAGGAAACTTCAGTTTATCTTTCCATAAGATAACATCCATTGTAACATTCAACTCAGTCACTTGCATCTATCAATCTTTTGCACTTTATCAATTCATTATAACCATTCCTTGGCTGGTGCCCCATAAAATAGTATGACAAACTTAAACTTAATATTAATAATATTAATATTTAAGCCCAAAGCCATTACACTGGTGGTGCTACTTGGATCTATCACCTCTAATAGACACAAATAGACATTTCGCTGAACCTGCTGTGAGTGACACAGAGAAAACAAACGCATGCAAGCTAAAATTAAATTTATTTTATTTTCTACCCCAGACATATCTTGTAAAACCTATGTTAAGTTTTGATCTTATTTTCATTTTTTTTTTGTTCTGTCTTCCTTGTTTGTCATTTGACCAAGTTTCTCTGTTCACCCATCGTTTAGCTAATTATCTCATTAGTTACCTTATGTCTGGCAGGTTCTCCACTAATTGTAGAGGAGGAAGCCAGCTCCAAACCAACTATACTAGTCCCAACCCTGTGTAAGGAATTTAACTTTTATTTTAGCTCTTTTCAGAGGGGGAATCTAATCTGAAGATTCAAAATCAACCTGATTGAACTGATTCCCAATTTGATAATTCGATGTCTGACGTATTTCTGGGGATGCCCTCCGGCGATTGGTTGGTTTCCTCGTGACATGACGACGCGCTGGAAGTTCTTCTCAGAATCTGTTTGCGAAGACTAAGTTTTGAAGATTTCTGCAGTCACGAAGTTTGATGAAGTTTTGGAGTTCTGGAGGATCACTAGCCTGATGTTGATGGCTGTGAGCGCTTTGTAGCGCAATCAATAAGGCGGAAGAGCCAAAGATCCAGAGAGCAAGCAGCGAGCGAGCCACGAAGGCTTTGTATCCAGTTTTAAGCAGGCTGATTTTGGTCCATCCCATGGTGATTGTTCCAATCAGATATTGGCTGCGGGGCTTAGCCACGCCCCATACTGTTCCTTTATCATGCATGAATCACATGCTCCCCGTTTTTTCATTCACGCCAATTTTCTGCAAATAAAACAAGCTTTCACCCGATACTAAACTTCACATATCTTACACACATATTAAATGCTTTATCTGCTAAAAGGAAACGTTATAAGGCATTGATTAAAGTTGCACCGATTACATGAAACACATCGAGCATAAAAAGGCACAAAACATTATTTTTGAATATAGTTGCCCTTTTATACTTAAATTGTTTTAAATGATTGTCTTTTAAAATCGTCATGCAAGGTTCTGTTTCTTTTATTGTAAGAAAAGAACGCGGGTCAGTTGGGTTTCAGAAGGGCAGGAAGCAGATGTTCAATGGGTCATGTGGTGTCACGCTGTATAGATCCTGTGTGCGCGTGCAAACTTGGAGGGTGTGATTAAATTAGCCATTTCCTGTGCATATATAATGGTTCCATTCATAAGCGATCACGAGGTATCTCTCAACTATATGTTGTGAAAGAACTTTTTAGTCCTTGATGCAAAAGATCTCTGTTGTCTTCTGATTGGATTAGTTTATTATCACTCTTCCGATTCTTCTGAGGAGATAACGACACGGGTTGACAGGAAGTCGACCCAGAATATTGGCGTCACGTGATAGTGATGATTAGTTTAGACCTCGTGATGAGTTGATTCAATGGTGTATCTGTGTCTGTTCGATAGAAATCCTACACCTGTCTGCCCAAAATCCCCAGTCGACCACACGGAGATCACCCCAGAACCAGACCTAGCGCCCACGTTCACGGTGGACAAAGAGCCTGAGCCCAACTGTAGACCAAGAGACCCTGATCATCCCCGCCACGGAGATAAAGCCTGAGATCCACGCCCGTCCCAGAGGAGAAGCCCAAGGTCCCAGATGACCAGGTGTGAGCCAGCCATAACATCCGTGCCAGTGGGGGTTTTAGTGGAGCATGGCTTATGGGGAGAAATGGCTTATTGACTGGGAAACGGAGGTAGTGCTTCCCTCCCTGCCCACCCACAAACCTTCGCTTAGAGTCTTTGTTGTCACCAGTCATATCCAGCAGAGAGTCTTCGTCATCACTGATCTTACTTTGCACAGAAAATTCTTCATCATCACCAGTCTTGTCTGGCCGGATGATTCTTCATCACTACCAGCTCTGTCCATCACTGAACTGACTCACTCACTCAGTCTTCCACTCCTGCATGCTCCCCTGAAGCCAGCCATTTAATAAGCTCTGCCATCCTGCCCTGATCTGCCTTGGAGCTTTTGGTCCCCAGCTCTGCCCTGGCTTGAGGAGTCCCAGGCTCCGCCTCGTCCCTCGAAGCCCCTAGTTCTACCTCGGCCTGTTACCCAATCAGCTCTGCCCTGGCTCCTTGCTCCCTTGGCTCCACCATGGACCTTTGCCCTACCGGCTTCTCCAGGCTCCCTCGCCCACCGGGTCTGCCGTGGTCCGTCATCGCCATGAACTTCCAGGATCTCCACTGCACTCTGTCTGGAGTTCAGTTTTTATCTAATTTTCAATTATCATTTTTATCTATTATCAATTCAAATGATCAACTATCAATTCAATTATCATTTTTATTCAATTATAATTTTAATCATTAATCTAATTTTTCAATTATGAATGTCTGAATGTCTCATACAATTCATACAACTCATACAATTGCAACTACAACTACAAAATGTTCATGCATAAATAAATTTAAACTATATATATATATATATATATAACTTTTCTCTATTGGTCGGACATTTCGGCCACTTGAGCAAAAATATTCTTCATACCAGACCTGTACAGTGCACACACACAAAGTGCATAACTTTTAACTTTAATGTGCTATTTATATTTGATTTGTCCCTTGATGTAAAAATAATACACATTTTAGGTTACCTGAGAAACCTTTTTTCTTTTACAGTACTGTTACCGAGAGAAAAAAAATTTATAAAAAAATATCAAAACAGTTCAATTATTTGTATTATTATATTATATTATATTATAATATGAAAATAATGAAGCAGATATTGCTCATGAATTCCCTTTTTGAGGTCAATTATTTATTAGGTTTATAATATAATATAAAAACAAACTTAAGCATTTAAACTTATATAATAGAATAGAATAGAATAGAATAGAATAGAACAGAAAACAAACTGAAGCATTTAAACTGAGATCTGTAAGCTAAATATTTTCAAAAAACACGAACATGTGAATTCTATATAGTTATCTAAGTAGAGTTTAGAGTAGTAGAGTTTGCACACTACTACACCTGTGTGTGACTGTAAATGTC